TAGTTCTATCAGGGGCTTCAATAATCACTGCGCGTCACTTTTTTTTATCAGTTCTTAAACAAAATGAAAATGGAGCACTAATTGAATGTTCAAAATAATCGAAAAAATATATGACATTTGTAAATAGGAATTTAAAAATGATAATCATTAAACAATTAGTATAATTATATAACTTATCATATTCTTCACTGGAAGTTGAAAGTCCTTACAATGAAGTTTCTTCTTTATATCCGGAGACTTATTATTCATACATTTGCACACATAATTGCAGTTGCTGATAACTGATTATACATACTATAATTAATGTAAAATAAGATACGAGGGTCAAACTGAAAGTTCTTAGAACTGGCCACTTATAAACAATATAATAAAAAAATAATTCTAAAATTTGAAAATATAACTCTTTGCCAATATTACTGAGTATATATTTCATTCATTTGTCATTTGTTTTACGATTTGGCGGCAAATTGAAAATTGTCTGTGTCACGTCATCATGAATTTAACACGAGAAAATTTTCGTGCAATGATTTTTTATGACTTTCGATGTCATTTAAGTCAACAAGAAAGTTATGATAGACTACGATTGGCCTTTCACGATGAAGCCCCATCTCGTGCGACTGTTTACAACTGGTTTAATGAGTTTAAACGTGGTCGCACTAATCTCACTGATGATTTACGTGAGGGACGGCCTTCTACGGCGACGACTGAAGATAACATCTGTGTTGTGCGGCGTATGATAGAGACTGACAAAAGAGTGACCTATCAACAGATTCGGACAAGCTTAGGCATCGGTATGAGTCAAGTGCACAAAATCCTCCACGAACATTTAGCGGTCAGGAAGCTTTGCGCCCGGTGGATACCTCATAATTTGACTGAGGCTCAAAAACTCCATCGTGTGGATTGGTGTCGTAAAATGATTGAAAGATTTAACGGAGGTGACTCAAATGCTGTGTTCGACATACTAACAGGTGACGAAAGCTGGATTTACTGTTATGATCCTAAAACCAAAAGACAATCTGCTCAGTGGGTGTTTCCTTTCGAGGAGTTGCCAACTAAAGTGAAGAGAGATCGAAGTGCGGGAAATAAAATGGTGGCCTCGTTCTTTGGAAGGATAGGTCATTTTGCAACAATTGTGTTAGAGGATCAAAAAACAGTTTCTGCAGAATGGTACACTACCAATTGTTTGCCACTTGTCTTGGAAAAAGTTCGAGAGAAACGACCTCGCAGTAGGATCCTCCTTCACCACGACAACGCCTCGTCGCACACCGCCAAGCGAACGATCGACTATTTGGCGACATCAAACGTTGAATTACTGGGTCACCCGCCGTATAGCCCCGACCTCGCGCCTTGTGATTTTTATTTATTTCCAAAAATTAAAGAAAAACTTAAAGGAAAGCGGTTTATGAATGCTGAAGAAGCGGTGGCTGCGTATCGCGATGCCATTGAAGAGACCCCTAAGGACGAGTGGGCAAAGTGCTTTTCCCAGTGGTTCCATCGCATGCAGCGGTGTATTGACGTGAATGGACAATATTTTGAAAAGATATAATAAAACTAATAACTGGCTAATGTAATCAGTTTTTGATTTTCTAAGAACTTTCAGTTTGACCCTCGTACTAACCAAGTGTAGTTACGACTATTCCCGTGTTATAAAAATATGCTACTGAAATATAATCTAACAATACATGTAAATTATATAAGTAATGGTTTATTTCGGTATTTATATAAATCGGCTTCGTTTGTTTTTTTAAACTGTCGCCTTAAAAATCGATGAGAAGTTAACAACTTCTTAAAATATGAAGAAGAAAGATTTTGTTGTTGTGAAAGTAATGGACCGATTTAAAAAAGAAAACACTTCATACGCGGGTGACATAGCCTATAATAGTTTATGAAAGTGATTATGCGGGAAAACAGCAAAATCTATAATTTAAAATTATAAAGCCGAAGAGTTTGTTTGTTTGTTGGGTCGAAAGCGCTAATCTCAGGAACTTGTGATTCAAATTTTGAGGAAGCCTAAGAAAACCATGCGGGCTTGTTGAAATAAAGTGCAGTCAACTGTAATACAATTTTTGCTATTTTGAAACGAAATAACAAAAACATTTTTAAGACGCCACTTTTTATTGGATGTAGCTTAGAGTATTAAATCATTATTGGTTTAATTATCTAAGGGATTTAGTCAGTACATTCAAATGATCGTGTTTTATTTCGGTAAATAAAAATTATCCACAACGACAAGCAGAAAATGATTTAATATCGCTAACTCTACGTTTAACAGTTTCATTGTTACATTCTAGAGTAGAGCCCTGATTATGGTATCTTAAAAAACTCCGAATTTTTATAATTAACCCTTGTATATGATAGTTTATGTTTTCCATGTGAATTTAAATCATTTTATTACCCTATTACCCTTTTTTTATTGTAATGATATTACAATAAAAAAGGGTAATAGGGTAAATAGTCCCCAGCATATACATGCGCACATAACACAATACTCTCCAATTATTCATAGACTATAATTAACATGTCACAGACCAGATTTATAATGATTTAGTGCAGGTTACTGCCAACTTTTGCCTAAACGAGTTAATCAAGAGTTCAATTAAAAAAATGTTGATGTCTAACATTATTATTTCTCCTTGGCGTTATTGTACATATTATTTGCCTGTTATTAAATAATTAAGCTTTTCAAGCTATAAGATTAAACCTTTCGGTCGAAATCGAAATCGGAGTATTTTATTAGCTCCGGAGTTAGGTTTCGATGCGCTGTATTCAAACTCCTGAGTTTCAGAGTTTCAGTCTCATATAGATTTTCAAATACATGCAAGGTAGAGCGTAGGCACTAAAGCTCGAATTGTCCGTTCTGCTACTTACATAATCTTTGACAGATCTTTTTCACAATTATGTAACCGGAGTATTTACTCTTTCTTTTTTATGACACATTATTTATTTTTCTGATTATAACATAAATTAATTGAAATGTATACTTACGAATGAAATGTCACCCCTTGGTCTATCGACGACTTACTTATGTTGTTTCTACAGTTTGGCATAACACAGGATAGCATTTTTAAAATGATGATGGTACCTACATAAACGCACACAATAAACGCTTTCTGCACTCAGGTATTCTAATTAGCATAGTTTTAAGGTGATACTTTTTGAATCCAATTTTTATTGTGATATCATTGCCCACAATTATTAAAAGGAGGAGCTTTATATAGTAAATTTTTGGTCACCTATCTTATTACAGGTCCTTGTGACCGTTGCTGAACTTCTGCATCAGAATATCACTCATGCGATAATTACTGCGTCATTGACTGTCTCGTGCCATCGAACAATTGATTTTTAGCATTATTCTTGTTAATACTAAACTGTCGAAAAAAAATAAAACACAAATTGGATTAACTTAATTTAATGAGTGAGTAAATAATTAACATCGATGATTCAATAGGTGAATACAAATGACACGCAACTAGTGAGTATAGCCAGTTTTTTTTTGACATCGTTATCGGTCCGAAACGTAGCAATTGGACATGTGGTTTTGGGCGAAGAAGCGGTCAAACAGGCCAATTGCATGTAGCGAGCTCGGATGCATGAAGCGAATTATATGTTATATGCTAATCGATTGTATTTAGAAAGGAAACGATTATTCAATGTTGCTTATTCGAGAATCGGGATTTATGCAGTTGTAATTTTTTTTTGGGTAAATAATTATTTGTTAATTTTTACGAATATAAAAAATTTTCGGAAACATATTAGAAAAAAAATGTTAGATTATTAATGATCCAATATTTTTATTTAATTATAATATATATCACTTTATAATAGAACGAACGAAAGAGACTGGATCCTACAACCCAGGGAATCCTAGTGTGGGAAACAGTGTTCAATTTATGATTGCAAATTCCATCTTTGGTGTTTAATAAACCTTATTATTATTATTACTTATTTATACAGTAATGAAATAGGTAAATAGTGCGTAATTTGATACAATTTGTTTTTCGTAATTGATATCCTACCCATTGAACTCAAAACCGCAGTTATAGTGATGCGCTGCCAGTACAGATTTCAGTTATACTGCGTCACTAGGTTATGGCTACATGAATTAAAATTTTAAGACTGCACCTAAAGGTAAAAAGATTTTATGACGATATTTATACAGGTCGGGTAATAAGAAAAATAGAGAGAATAGTGTCATATTACATCGGCCTTTACTTTTATTTAAGCGTAGTTAGTTCTTTTGATATTCTATACGAATGTTATGCAACTTTCGAAAACGCCGGTTAAAAAATAGAAATGAAGAAAGTGAAATATAATCAGAACAATAAACTCAAAATACTTAGCTGGATTTTAGTTATCAGTTGAAAAAAGAAGTTGTTTTATGTGTTTGTTAATTTATATAAAAAAATATATTTATTACGATATTTTAAAAAATTAAAAATTTCTTTCTAAGTCCTTCCATATTTGTTCTTTTGGTCTGTCTTTCTCGTTTTTAAGATAAATTTAGACAAATATACATAAAAATATATTTAACGAATAAAATTAAGCATATTTGTTTAGACGCCCATTAGACTAACATATATGTATATTGCGTCATTCTAATGAAATTACATACATACAGGTCAAATTGATTACCTCGCTTTTTTCAAGTCGGTTAGAATTAATGTTTTATGTATTTTGTATTGTAACGTTATCTACTGTAGCGGTAACAATTTTTGAGGGTGAGCACATCCGATGTATAAGTAATATCTGTGGAAACCTGGTGGAAACTGAATTGTATGTACGATTGGCAATATGCTCTTGCCGACAAATTGTTTTTATTACTGGACAATCTAATCGTATTCAAATAGGGCAGCATCGACTGCCTGTTTAGAATTGTTAATGTGTGTTAATAATTTTTTGAGCCAGTATATAAGTGCAATCGATTTTGCTTAATGCATCATAATTGCATCGCACTGTGTGATCCATTGTCGTATTAGCTAGCACCAAAAAATATTTAAAAAATGCATCGATTTACGGTAAGATAAATTGATATGGGGATGATCGTATAATCGTATTATATTAAAAAAAAATATATATAAATTGAATTTTGAAATGTATAAATATGTCTATTAATATTAATTAGATCCCCATTCTTTTATGAACTGTTTATCTGAGATTTTTTATCTAATTCTGAACTTTAAACAAAATTTTAATATAACTTTCAGATTTTACTGGTCATCGCAGTAGCGTATGAAGTAGTAGCAAGAGGTAAATATGATAATAATAACGATGAATTTATGCCATAATTGTAGATTAATATGTTTTAAATAAATTTATTTATCTTACAGGAGTTGAAAAAGATTCCCGATCTGAACAATCTGGGCTCATTGCACCAGTAGTAGCCGCTCCCGTCGGTTATGCTGGTGCAGGCCATGGCGCTGGACTCATAGGAGGTGTAGTAGCAGCCCCTGCCGCAGTTGTTGCTGGACACGGCTTCGCCGCCGGACCTGGCATCGTCACTGGACCCGGCATAGTCACCGGGGCTGGCGTAGTCAGTGCGCCTGGTATTGGCAGCGCTGTCGCCATCAATAACGCTGCTGCCGTCGGTGCCGCTCAGCTTAGTGCCATTCAAAACGCACAAGCTGTACAAGCCGCTCAGATCGCTAATTCCGCCGCCGCCGCTATCCAAGGAGCCCGTGTGACTGAAGCCGCCGCGAGAGCAGGCCAGGCCAATGCTATCTCCAATGCTCAGGCTCTTGACGCTGCACGAGTAGCTAACATTCAGAGAGCTCAAGCTGCCGCTTTCGAAAATGCAAGGGCTCTTGAAGCCGCAAGACGTGCCGCGGCCGCCAGTGCTGCCGAAGTAGCCCGCGCTGTGGAAGCCGAACGCCTCGCTAACGCCGCCCGCGTTCAGGCAGTCGCCATCGCCAATACACGCTCTGTTGAAGCCGCTCGCATCGCTAATGCTGCAAGAGCGCAAGCAGCTGCCGTTGCTAACAGCGCCGCTCAAGCTCAAGCTGTTGCCGACTCGGTAGCAAGAACCGTCGACGGTGGTTTGATTTCTGGAGGATTGATCTCTGGTGGCGTTGTTTCTGGAGGTGTGGTTTCCGCTGTACCGGTAGGCGGACTGGTCTCTGCTGGTGGATTAGGCGGCGTTGGATTGGGCGGTTATGGATTGGGCGGTTATGGATTGGGGGGAATCGGATTGGCTGGACCGGCCTTGGGCGCCAAGATTGTTCATCACTAAATTATAAAATATAAAAACTCCAGTGAAGTCTACGCAGTCAACAACAACCAAAATTCTACATCCATTTCGTTCTTCTAAAGAAATGGTTAGCGGCAACTCATAGTAGATTTGGTCAGGTGATGTAAATATTAATTTCGAAATTTGCAACCATCTACAACATGTAAAAATAAATGTAAGCAATTAACATAAAACAAAAAGTTTTTATTTTATTTAATTGTCAGCCACTGTACCGATAAACGTTATAGTAAATAGTGATAATACCTAATGACCAGTTTGTACACACGCCACGAAAAACTCTCAAAGTATATACAGAAGCGTAATTTGTACGCTGTTTCACTTTTTAAGCTACATTCAGTACATCCATATTTATTGTTATGATACTTTGGTATTGCATTACACAAATTACGAAATTTTAAAGTATATTTAAATAGATTTTTGAATACGAGACTACTTACTTATTATATTAAATTACTAATACAAAATTATGACAATTGCATATTTTGGAGTTGAATAATGAATGTTATAAAAAAAGAATAGCGATATTTCAATTACTTATGTTTAAAAATTAAGATAGAACTCAATTATTACCTATACAAATCTAGAATCACATAAAATAACAGAATTTCTTAGTAGAAAATATGCAACCCAAATTAGATTTCAGGAAATTAAAAAAGGGAAATTTTTGAATAAGAAAGTATTATAATATAAATTACTTTCTAATTCAAAAAAACGAAGATAAGAATAAACCATATTTTCTCAGTTAAAAAGAAATTAACTTTGTTGCATCAGAACATAGCTAGTATTTTAAGAAAACAAGACCTTCTTAATATAACTAAGTAAAGCAATAGGAATTATCCAATTCACATGCTTGACTGAATTTATGACATTTATGAAAAAAAAATCCCAAGAAACTTGGTCGTACCTAGTTAGGTACGATTACGTTGGATATCTTTGGGGGAGGCCTATGTCCAGCAGTGGGCGTCTCTCGGCTGATATGATGATGAATGATGATGATGATGAATATAATTTTTTACAACTCTATAACTATAGAGTTGCGGCTACTTACTGCAGACATAAAAGTAGAGGTGGTTCTTGTAATCTGGTAAGAAATTATATTCATCATCATCATCATCATCATATCAGCCGAGAGACGCCCACTGCTGGGCATAGGCCTCCCCCAAAGATCTCCAATGTGATCGGTCCTGCGCCTGAAATTATATTAAATGTAAACAGTTGGAAACTTTTGAATGCTGCGCGGTGGAAATTCCAGACTACAAATAAATTATTGTCTGTATTTATAGGATCCCTACTGCCGAAATTGATGAATTATATATACTATGTGGTGACTGCAACGTAGAAATGTTATTAAATAGCACACAAAGTAAAAATTTAAATAATATTTTGACAAACAACTACATTTAAAACCATGTACTGAAACTAACAAGGAAAAGGGCTTGGTAGAGTTATAACAACTAACATAATAAATATTGTAAGAACTGCGATACATTATTCATGTCTTTCAGATCATGAATCCACCCAAAGCGTTACATTTGAATTAAATGATTCTTCAACAAATAAAATGAATTTATAAATTGTGTTAAATCATATTCATTCAATGATGTAATGGAAGAAAAAATTTAGAAAAAGCTTTTGACTGTTTTTTACGAAACCATTAAACTATTTTATAACTTTCGTTTCCATATTAGTGTAAAGAAATACTAAAATAATTAAAAATAAATGATTCACAAGATGAATCAAAAGGTGCCGCATATATAAAAGGCGTCTTTATTTACAGTACCGTTTTACCTCATCAAATAAAATATATCATAAAAATAAATATATTACATACTCAAAAATACTAAAAAGATGTATTGCTCTGGCACAAAAGCATTCTAATCTGAAGTATATCTCAAAATCTAATAAAGTTTGTACAGCAATGTGGGATATTATTAAAAATAATAACCAATACAATAAAGCTAATATAGACATAAGTAATATTAAATTACAAAATCACGATTATTTAAATAATCCAAATGACATTTGCCATGAATTCAACAAATCTCCTTCTTCTTCTTCTTTATATTAATGGCTTATCTGCGCATTTCGCACAATTCTGCCAATGTCAAGTCAGTAAATTAACTTTTACATGTAAAATGAAAATGAAATGAATGAAAGATGGAGATGAATTAATGAATAATAATAATTAATTCAACAAATATTTTATAAATTTGACTAATAGCAACGGCTTTGACAGTAAAAATAATCACAAAAGTGCCATGAATAATCAATTGCATACTTCTTCTCAAGTTTATATAATAAATTTGTCTCTGGTGTAAGGTTGCTTCCCATCAAAGGTAAAGTACTCAATTATTAAGCTACTATATAAAAATGGATCAAAAGAGGAGATGGGTAACTAAAGGTCTATTACTTTAGATTATATAACTTACACATACTTTTTGACACATACAAGATACTGAAGGATAACCAATTCGGTTTTTTGGATTAATATTATTTTTAATAATATCATATATCATAAGATCATAACACAGAGAAAGTTAATGAAGCAAATATGACAAAATTTCTGGGTATAAAAATTGATGATCAATGTAACAGGAAAATACATATAGAGTCAATGATGTTTAAACTTCACAGATTTGTATTTGTGTTAAGAAGAATAAGAGAAACGGTTTCTAAAACTGCAGCTATAACAGACTATCATGAATATGAAGCATAAATATTACGGTATGGCATTATTTTATGGGGAAACTCCGTTGATGGTGACAAAGTCTTCTTAATGTTACAAAAAATATATAAAATCAATATGTGGTGCTGGATTTTTGGATTCGTGTAAACCACTTTTTAAAAATGAATCTTCCTTTGCCTTATTTATATATTTATGAAATAGCAAAATAAAAAAAAAAAGTATATGATTCTATTTGAAGTGAATGTTAATGGCTGTAATTTCAAAAATGATTTTTGTATGGCTATACATATTTACAATAAGCTACCAAAACACCTGAAAACTGTCAAACAACACTGAAATGACTTTGACGAAGTTCCAAAAACAACTGTATGAATATTTAATATATAAAATGTACTATTGTTAATAACTATACAATATAATTTATACCATATACTTGCAAATAAACAATTATTATTATTATTGAAATTAATTTGTGCCTGCGTGCCTGAAAGTTTATTAATTTGCTACGTCGATACGTAGCAAATTAATAAACTCTTTTTTTTAAATTTTGCCTTAATATGAATTAAATCTATTGTTAGATCTTCCATCTCTAAATAAAAGGCAGAAACACTTATATTTAATGTTTGAGAAGGTGAAGTAGGCAGATAAGATGTATTTCGTCTTATCTCTGAAGAATCCAACGATTTCGACCTTGTAACGGTCGCTATAGCGATTTTTGATATAATAAGATATCAACGTTACACGAGTAACGAAAAAATAGGGTATATTCACAATAGCCGCATTCGTGCTCTCGGACATTCTATTGATGTTCATTGGCTTAAAAAAATGTTACATTTAGTCCATAAAATAATATTGAATGAGATTCAAATTGAAGTAATTAGAAAAAAATCGTAACAATAAAAAGAAAAGTAACCTAATATGGAATAGTATATTACCTATAATGGATAGTGAAATTAATTTCTAATCTATTCATTTCATAAATTTTAGTTCACTTTCAAAAATCTCAGCGAATGTGCTGATAACGAGTTGCCTGAACTAATTGACAATAAACTTTTCTCCTATTAGGAATAAGTTAAGAAGTAATTTGAATATTCCACATTCGGTAACATTCCTTTAAGTATATTATGTGTTTACCTGTCACTGGATCAACTCTCCATTCGAAGAGTTAAGCGTTTGTTGTCATACAAAAGATAGTTCAACGGAAAAATACAGAAGAAAACAAATACTATGTGATTCATCCTAAAACGTTGTGTTTACAAAACATTTATGACCACTCGAAGCTGAGCTCTGAGGTCTAAAAAGCAAGAATATTCTTTACTTATGTTAAGAATTGTTCTGAAACCAGCCTATGGTTAAACGATGTGCGAATTGCATTGATAACGAAATATAACATGAAAATGATAGTTTTATCTAATTCATTTCCAGATTAGATTCATGTCAGATGGACAGACAGTTCTATTATATTGGATAAAAATAATCAAGATTAAAATTAATCATCATCAGCTCTTTTACATTCCCACTGCAGAGGCCTTCCTTATGGACGATTAAGGAGAATCGGCTACGACTTCCTAATGCGGATTGGCGGGGATGATCAAAATTTGTTAGGAAATTTTAGAAATAGCTAAAAGACTGGTAATCTTATAGACAGGTCGTGATGTTAAGATTAGTCTAGGAGAGCGACTTACTCTCTAGCCATGTCCAAAGCGATAGCTGTAAAATATTATATTGATTTTATTAATGAACTATGTACTATGTATGTACTTATAATATATATAGAGTCATTACCATTTAACAATCTTTATCATTGAGTAGTATTGAGTTTGCGAAGTTGATAAGCACCGCGGCTTGCGGTCGTCGATGTAAAGCAACTTTTAGTGAATCCATCCTATAAGCCCATCCTCCTTAACCATCCATAAGGAAGGTTTGTTTTGATGCTGATTCTTTACAACGATATATTATTTTTTATTATTTAGATATGTTATCAAATATTTTGTATTAAGTTTAATTTTCGAAATAGCTTTGTTTGTCTAAATTCTAAGTAATATAAGTTTGTCTTTTATCATATTATAATTAACTCAATATAGTTAATTCAGAAAACTACAACAACCAAAATTATAAGTTAAAAATTTTAATAATATGACAAGATCATTATGGAAGTATTGCAAGATACTGATTGATAAAAACAATACAAACTCTTTATAGATATGGTAGAGTCGTCGAGCTAAAAGGCGGTCGGATTGCTGAGCGTTAAAACGGCAAAAAGTTGGATGCCGGACGGTTGGACGGAGTCTTCCATTTCCTCTATGTTTGATATTGTAATGTCCCAGCGCGTTGCTATTGACAAATATATTCTCTGCTTTATTTAGACGGCTGATTACTGGCCGTTTCGATATAAATAGAATTCCTGCAGCGGGCACCATGCGTCGACTGTGCTGCAGACGTCACAGTACCTATTAGTGTTAAGAACGGTAAATATATTTTTGCCAAGAGCTATATTATGCCTAGATTTGGCTCTGTTCATTAATTTGGTTTGTTGAGCATCGTAAAATGTTTCTGATCTGTAAGTAGGTAATGTTATTTCATTCAAGGCTATTTGGTCGTTAGTTTCCACAAACTTCATTTTCATAATAGCATAAACATAAGTGACTTGCATTATTACTAATTATATAGTTGGTTGGAATTTATGGTTGGTTAGTCAAATTAACCTACAGTTTCGCTTTTAATGTCAGACTGAAGAAAATAAGCTCCAAATTTGTAGTATTAATTTGAAGAAAGAAAACTTTGACTTCAATTTAATGAGAAAGATTCTGAAACACCCGTTATTGTGTAAGCAATGATATAATTAATAAAATAATATCAAATAAATAGCTATATGACAACATCACATAAATCAAATCAAATCAAAATTGTTTATTCAGGCTAGGCTGTTACATAGCAATTGTGAAAGTTGAAAACTACGCATACGGTTCGCAAAACTACGGCGGGATACCTTGTACTGAGAAGAACCGGCAAGAATAATTTTCACATAAAATTTTTGTATTGTGAATGACTTCAATAGTATTAGTTTTTGAAGGTCGCTATAAAAAGACAATCAACACCTTAGTCTTAAGTGAACACGGAACCTGTAAAGGATCCTAAACGTCAATAAAAATAAATACCTACAAATTTTGTTTAATTTATGGATAGTGCGCGAAATCAATATCAAATTAAGTATCATGGAAATCTTATGAAACAGCGGTGACACTATACCCAGACCCGATATAATATATAAAAGGACGCAATCATAATTATAATTCATTCAACATGTGATTTTTTTTTTCAGATCTGTAAGTAGTTTCTTTTAATATCTCCTCGATATGATATATAGGTTACGCAAAAGCTACGCCGCTATTTTAAAAATGATTAGATTGTATGTGTCAATTTGTAACCTATTTTAATTTCTATTATCCTAATATTTCCCGGGGTTATTGAACGAAATCATTTTATTTCTGGAGAGTTTCTAATTATTCAATCAGCCAGTGTATTTCCCTCATTAGATAACCATTAAATAGGTCATTAAAAATAGATTAAATTGTTTTTGTTCTAAGTGACATTGAGCATATAACGGTCTTTTAAAGAATATATAAATCAAGCGCGTTCTATACCAATTCGCAGTAAGGAATCCTACGATGTTATAATTACTACTCGCTGCTTCATTGAAATATCGAAATAAGTGAATATTTTCTAACAGACAAAAAAGCTACATAACTTTATGTCATATCAGTGAAGTTGACAGGGTTGCCTATTGTTGAGATAACGTTACCAAACATTGCCTATAAATAAAAGTGTAGCGTGATCTAAACACATACTCAGTCGGTTGGTCGGTAGTACAAGATGGCGCTTAAGGTAAGTGTTTACGAAGTATTTATTGTAAAATAAATTCAATAAATTCTGTTGTACTCTAATTTATGTCATTAGGTTTTAAAAAATATAGAAAATGCCAGGTACTGAATTAATTCAGCAATAGAAAAGTCTATAGGTATATTAGATATCGATAGCTTATTATATCACCATCACAGCCCATTAATGTACCCACTGCGGAGGCACAAAATGAAATTGGATCGAATAGGAAGAATGGGACTTGACCCAACACGCGGGCCCGGTGCTTTTTGGTGGGTGTTAACGATTGCAACCGGGACCAACGGGATAACTTGGTAACCATAGGGCCATCGAGCTACCAATACAAATAACCAAATATAATAAATTAGTAAAAAAAAACTTGAGTTTTAAATTATTGTGCACTTTCAACAGTTGATAGATAATTATTCGGGAATAAGGCATACATAGAGAATAATGATTGTGAAAAAAAAATGTGATTAAAACGATATCGAATCTATATTAAAGAATATTAGACATCATCACATACATTACTCAGACTTCAAGATAAGTAGCTAAAGTATTTCAGAATATTTGAAACAATAAATGTATTGTAACACTCAGACACGTGAACATATAGATGTGTCTTTTCTTAGCAAAGTAATGTTTTTCATTGTCACTACTACATATGTATGTAATGTTTATTTAATTCATATATATATTAAGAAAATTTTTAAACAAACTTTTCTCTTTCTCAAAAAAGGAGCCAAATATAAGTATAAAAAGTAACAAACTTACGAAAATTTATAGATTTCCTCTCGTATTAAGTTAATTAAGGCATAGGTTATTTATAATAAAGGTAACGGTTCAAATAATTAATTAAAAGTATCGTTTGGTCCATTATTCCGCTCAATTGAGACATATCTCACAATTTTAACTGTTTTCCTCGTTTATGCTTATGATTATATGTAATTTTAAATTTAGTTCATATTATTTTTTGTTATTAATAGCATAGATACACAAACTATTTAATAGCTTATTATAGTCAATTTAGTCAAATGTAATTACATTAAATTCGACTTTAAGTGGCTGCTATACATAGAGACCGCAGCCTGGGAAACAGTTCTGACAGAGTTTGCGATCGTTAGGAGACTAACGAAAGTCGCTAATATGACAGTTGCACTCAGTATTGTGATGGGTTCAATGCTTGGGCGAATGAATGAAAGGCTGACTTAGCTCGAGTACTTGATTTTATTATACGGTAATGAAGAAAAGGGAAAAGAAAATCTGTAACAAACAAAATATGACTATAAAAACAGTTCGTATGATTACCTAAATATATAATTACAATTGTTAAATAGTACAATATATACCCCTTTTTTGGTTTCCTGTAATATATAAACTTGGACGATATTTAACGTAGTTACACTTTTAGATTAATAATTTTCTTATTTAAATTTTAATAAAATCATTATAATTACATTTTTTATATTTAAATTTATTTGATTACGTAATCATGTTCACATGAGATGAATTTCGTAAGAACCAACATTCATAAAGAGCAGATTGGATTTGTCAAAATTTCAAATTAAGAAAGGTGAATAATAAAAATAAATTATATTTGAAGATCAAAAACAAAAAGTTTGCGTGCGGAAACCTAGGACGAAATATACGGTGGTACGACGCACCGTTTTAGTAAAAAATGACGTGATAGGGTCTAAAAAATAACAATATACTTATTTGTAGAAACATGCAATAATCGTCAAATTACTATAGCTACGTGTTCGGTGAGATTGCGGTCGCAAATTCTGTTTAAACTCCAGCCCCTTGCCGATCTGAAAGGCCTTCTTTTAACGACGGGAAATGCGTGATGTCCGAGGACATCCCGAAGATTACATCCCGTGCTTTTTGCTCTTTAAATATGTGCGATCTATTTATCTTTATGATTATATAGACAAGATATGTTTTACTATCGGGATTTAACTATTTGCAAATCAAATTTTAAAGTTTCGCTTTTTTTTTAAAGTAATGATAACACATATGTAATTTACTCCGTGGATTGTATGTAAAATTGTTTTAAAGGTTAAGTAAACTGATTTATTGATTCATTTGCACTTAATCAAATGAGTTCTGATGTCGAATCATATAAAAACAACTTATGTACCACCTTAATAAGTTATTGTGTACAAATTTTAAAATTAATTGTTTAAACTTTCAGATTTTTTGCATTTTGATGCTGTTAGCGGCAGTATGTCATGGTAAGACTTATTAATTAATTTTAATTTTTATATTGCGTATAAACCAAACTTCCATGATTAATTAAGAATTAAAGTAAAGATATTGAATAAATAAAATTTTAAATTATTTATATGAATCTTACAGGGAAACCAGCCCCGCTGGAAAATGAGCGCGCTGTAGTTGAAATTAAAAACTCAGGACACAAAGATCGCAATCAACATAATCATCACCACAGCCACGAAAACCAAAGCGGAAGTGACGAAGAGAGCCACGAGAATCATGAGCACGGGCACAATCATGGCCAACATGAACATAATCATGGCCAACATGAACATAATCATGACCAACATGAACATAATCATGGCCAACATGAACATAATCATGGCCAACATGAACATAATCATGGCCAACATGAACACAACCACGGCCAACATGAACACGAACATAACCACGAAGGACATGAACACAACCACGGGCAGCATGAACACGAACATAACCACGAGGGACATGAACACAACCGCAGCCAGCATGAACATAATCACGGTCCATATGAACACAAACATGGCCAACATGAATACAACCACGGTCCATACGAACACAAACACAAAGAGTACAATCATAGCCACGAAAACCACAAACATGGCTCCGAAGGACATAACCATAGTCACGAAAGACCCGAACATAACCGTAAAGGACATAAACAAGAATTATTAGTAAAACCATAAAATTCATAACCACAACCTGTGAATAATGTTTAAATACATCTCTAACTAAATATATAATATGAAAAAAGTTTTATTATTTGTCTTTATTTTGGTCTACTTAAATTATATTGAACGTGGTGAAGCGTGTGCAGTTATTGAATTTTATTACAATTAAGTAATTTTTATAAGATTCACAAACATAGATTCACAGCTTACACGGGTAATTTTATTTCATGTATACGAGTGGAACAGAGAGAAATAAAGAAAAATTAGTACCTACATGTTTAGATGTTTCGGATTCTTTACAGGCAGGCTCTGTGATAAGTTCGAAATAGCCTATACTAATAATAAAGTGAAAAGGTTTGATTGTTTGTTTGCATTGATAGACTCTGAAAACGAACTGCCAGTAATAATAGCATAGAGACGTTCAGAGCGTAAATTAATTTAGAGTAAGGTAAAGACGAGCACGGACGTTACAGTACCCAAGAAATGTATGACATATTTACCTATATTATCACCATATACCCTGATAAATGTCCATTTCCTGTCGCATTTTCTAATTAGGTGGCGCTTGATAGCATGACGTGAGACATTAAGGTTATCTTAAAGTTCTTATTAAGTGATTAGAACATACAATTTGTTTCGAAAGCAGAAACCTAAGTGTTACCAGAGTGGCAAGTGTAAGTTTTACGCTAACGTATTCACTAGTAAGCGCGTTAAGAATTTGTATGGAGATTTGTAGTTCTTAGTAGTTACCGCTAGGGGCGCTGTACCAGATTCCATAGTTAAATCTGAACGCGCTCACTATCGACAGTGAACGTAAACGTCAAAAAAACGTACACTAAGCGCTCTGTAGCTTATAGATTGTATAATAGGGATAATGCCATTTTTGTCAGTCTGTCCGTCGGGTTTAAGAATATTAAACACGTATAATTTTATTTTTAGCGCAAGCTATAAATTTCGCTGATCATTGAGTTAAATGTCGCGTGACGTCATATTCATCTACATTTTCTAATTAATTGTGGAGTAGCGCGCCCCCACTCTTCAACTTTAATGCCTTTTATCTAGTCATTTCTTGTTAAGTGGAAGCAAAAACGAATGCGTATCTAATATTTTTCTATTATCTAACTGACGGACTAAATATAATTTCTTTTTTTATCCAAGCATCAGCCTTATTAAATCAATGATAAATTGGCTAGTGAAATATATATTTTAAAACAACTTATTGATCACAAAAGCAACAAGACAGACAGCAATAACAGTGATATAAGTAGAATAATCCTATTAAAAACTACTTATCTATAGAGGTTACCAAAGCTGTCGATGATAAATTATTTATTTATAAAAAAATATATGTAGAAATTGAATTTATTAACTTTGAAAGCCATAATTCCGACTGCGATAGCTTTAAGGGTTCGACTAGTATCTTGGGCACCTAGGAATGTAGGTAATTATTAAGTAGTTGAATTTATTAAGAGGTAGTTTTGATTTCATTATCAGTCTTTTAATGTATTCATTGCCTTCCTTATGGATGGTTAAGGAGGGTCATGACTGACCGTTCATGCTGACCCAATGCGGCTTAAGTGCCTTCCGAAGAACGGAGTAGCTCGAGATAATAATTTTTTAGTTGCTAATTGCAAAATCTAATCAAAGTAAAATAACTTACATTTTATAGTAATACAAAGAGTATTAAGGTAAGGTAAAACTATGTATATATGAATAATATTTTTTATATTGAGTAAGAAGTGACCTCGTATGAGTGACATATTCATTGTCTGTCTATCATTTCTAGAGTGATATGTTTTATTTTTAAATAATTATTCCATTGTTAACCTAAACTGAATTTCATTTGCTGCCACGAATGCCACTGTGGGATCACGCACAAGTTAAAGATAATTTGTTTAGCCTGTCAACTTTTTTAACGACGTAGAATGATTCAGTGAAATTCCAATACTATGAATTTGAAATACCTTTACTGCAATTAAAATAACTTTGGAACACATATCTTCGTGTGTTCCCATTGCTTCTCTACGGGTGGAATCAAATCAGTGCGGATTGGTCAGTGTTAACTGCAGACGCAGCCGTGAGCAAAGGCCTAACGTACCCTCCGAAGCAGGGAACGCTCGAGATATTAAATTTTAAGTCACCCATCCAATGAACCGCTCTTGCAAAAAGTTTGATTTTTGCATTATATAACGCGCACACTACTGCGCCATAGAGCCCCTGCAGGAAAACTTGCGGATTATTATGTTTACAATAAATGGTCTTAATTTAATAAGGAAGTTGTAAAGGGATAAGGGAAAATAAACATATTTTCGCGGCATAAGCATTAAATAAACATATTAAATAAGCATATTCTCGCAAACATCTAAGAGTAGGTAAGTTGTAAAATAGTAAAATTGCATTTGAAAATTTAATAATAAGTCAATAATAAAATGTAATTTCGTATCTACTCTCTACATCTTCGATGATGTAGTTGTATCTGAAATTTCAATTTTGCTTTTTTGATTGGGTCTAATGACCTATACTTATATTGTAGCCAGGCCCGTCTTAATAACAACAGGCGCCCGGGTGCAAGCAGTGCTCTGGTACTCCGCCCCCCTCATTACAGGGAACACGTATTGAATTTTTTTTACACATTTTTATATTTAACACGTTCGAAGCGGCACCGATTTTTCTGTTCTTTCCATTCCTGCGGTACAGAGCGTTTTCTACCTGGCCATAAAACTATCGTTGTGGCGGTACTGGGCTTATAAAACCCTGTTACGTTGAAGAAACTAAAATCATTTTTTTCGCTTAATGTTAATAAATTCTATTGATTTTTGCCTTGAATATTATAAATGATGAACTGTTTTATATGAATCTGAAGGCGTACGTGAACAGCTTATTTAGTTAAGAATCTGCAGCTAAAATAAAATACAAGATCTTATGCACACTATGCCGCACTAAATTGGGGAAGTTTTGCACATATTTTAGGGTTGGGAACTAAAAATATCGATTACTTCATTTATGGTATACTATAAGAAAAAAAAAATAGTAAATAGTTATCTTATATTTAAATCAACTAAATTATTTTTCGAAATCGACGAAATTATTTCGATCGAAATTATTTTTATACGATCTCGTATCACACGCGTATTACGTAGGATCAAGCTCGAAAAAAGTAGGTTTTGGTTTATAACACTGAGAATGATTATATTGTACGGTACAATATAAACATGGAAAGTGTTATAAAAAAATTTAGGCACAGTTTGTACCTACTAAATGTAAGAAAGTAAAATAAATGGTAAAGATGACTACTTGCCTTCGATAAATTTGTCTATAATTCGACTACATTTTGTTATTCGTATCAGTGGTTCTTCATTTATTAGTGTCATCATTAATGACGAAGTTTAAATTAATTATTTTTCGGCACCGTTTTGTCGTTTTCTGTGACATTTCTATACGTGCGTTCTTTCGAATGCGATCACAACACTGGCCGTGTAAAACTAGCGCAGGGTGCGGTACCAGGTGCGCTGGGGTACAAGGACTGTTCGCCCATGTTTCGCACTGTATTAAAATTTCATTACTTAAGTGCGGAAGTATTTAGCAAAACCGGTATCAAGGTACCCACCATTAGATTCTACTTTAATAACAAATCATAGATGTATATTTATCTCTTTCCTACACCGAACCAAACTGAAGTTATGCCTTTCGCACGACAGAGAAGTCTATGTTTTTCTTAGCCGCACCGCAAGGGAATCATTGACTAGGTGTTTCAAACCTGGTTCCGCACTCAACGTGTTAAAAAAAAACAAAATAAGGTGGTGCGACGGGGCGGCTGTTTCAAAAGACTCATATTTCAGCGTCAGCGGTTGAAAGCATTATCGAAGTCATCGATGAGTAGGTACAATAAGATTAGACCATCATCGGCGCGGCGCCCCCCAACGTGCGGCAGATTTGACGCGCGGATGCATTGCACCCTCTGCACCATGGGTAAAGATGGGCCTGTTTGTAGTTCAGTTTTACTTTATTCGATTTTGTCTTCTCTCATTCGATTTCGCCGGACGCAACCTCTACTCTCTTTGTTCACAAACGAAAATTTTCAAATTAAGCCTATGTGCGTCGCTGTAACACTCGTTAAATTGTACATTTGTTATAATTGTGTTAATGTCGTGGTTTAATTTACTTTCATTTTGTAATGATGTAGAAATTTATCTTTGTAATTATATGTGCGTTTGTAATGCAAATGAACGATTTTCTCTATCTATGTGTGGCGGTTGTATAATGTCATTCTTATCAACCGACCTCTTTGTTTTTATGAATGTAAAAATGAAAATTTAGACGAATAAAATATGAACTTTCAATACGATGCTGTCAGATTACTAAAACGTGTTTTATTTATTAAAATATTATTAAATGGAAAGTTATATACTTTTCCATATTGGTGACCCCAGATTGTTTAATATAAAGATACCGTTAAGTTACAACCATACAACTTATTGGCGTGCTTCGAAGTATCTAAAACAAGACATACTACATTTCAAATGGATGCGAGAATTAATAAGAAGTCCATTTCGACGTTCATTGATGATCGTCGTTGCTAAAGTTAATGCTGTTTCTGTGTCTACAACATTTTAAACTGAAGACCAACAAAGAGACGTCATTATAGTTATCGCATTCTGAAGTCAGAAGAGATACAACAAGTCAACAACAACAGATAAAACTACGTGTCCTTTGTATTTATGTATAACAATAGTAATATAACAATAGTAATACTCTACCTAATTTTCATGTAAGTTAGTATTTTATTTTTATTTTACTATTAATGTTTATTTTATTTTTTAAGTGAACGAACATGACAGAGCGTAAAGAAGTAGAGTTGACAGAATTGCAACGGCTGGTGGAAGTATTGCAATCTCAAGTGCAAACTATATTAAGTGAGAATGTTTCTCTTAAGGGCAGGCTTAACAACGACTCTATTGTCCAATCTTTACCCTCCACATCTGCTGTTCTCGAGAGCAATATATGTAAGGTGTCAG